CTTTACAATTTCCCTCAGGTATTTGCAGGTGAAGAAGTTTTAAAGCACAGAAACAATTCCAAAGACATGTGTTAGTGCTAATTAATGGAGAAAACCAGCTAGGTAACATAAGAAAAGCCAGGTTAAAAAGTATGCATGGGGACTGGGAAGATGGCTCAGTGGTAGAGTGCTTGCCTTGCATACATGAGGCCCTGGGTTTGATTCCTCAGCACCACATAAGCAGAAAAAGCCAGAAGTGGTCCTGTGGCTCAAGTGTTAGAACACTAGCCTTGAGCTGAAGAGCTGAGGGTCAGCGCCCAGGCCCAGAGTTCAGGCCTCACAATGACCAAAAAAAAAAAAAGTATGCATGGTCCTCTGAGGTAGGGGTGACAAAAGAAAGGGCAGATAGAAATTTGGTGACTTCCTATCTAGGATTCTAACTTTTCAATAAAGAGGTAAGACTATAAATTAGGGCCAGGTGCTAGTGACTTACACCTATAATCCTAGCTATTCATGAGGCTGGAATCTGAGGATTGAGGTTTGAAGCCAACCTGGCCAGACAAATAGAAGAGACTCTCCAACTACCAAAACAAAGCTGGGACTGGAGGTGTGGCTCAACTGGTAAGAGTGCCAGCAGTGAACAAAAAGCAGCAAAAGCAGGAGTTCCACTGTTCAAGCCTGTTCAAGGCATGAGCACAGACAGAGGCACAAACAGACAGGAAGGCAGGCAGGCAGGCATGCATGCATGCACACAGGCACACACGCACACAGCATATTAAAGGGTATTACAATGTGAGCAAAATAATGAAGCATTTAACACTTGCTCTACAAATGTCTACTGAAAATATTGGCATGCTTTGTATGCAGTTTAGAAATCTTGTTCCACAGGATCTCATCTAGCTTTTTTGTTTGTTTTTTTAACAGTCTTTAAGCCAGGCACTAGTGCCTCACCCCTATAATCTTAGTATTCAATAGACTGAGGTATGACAGCAATTCGAAGCCATCCCAGGCAGGATAGTATATGAGACTTCTATCTCCAATTAACCACCAAAAAGCTAGAAATAGAGCTGTGGCTTAAGTGGTACAACACTAGCCTACTACAGCTAAAAGAGCTCCTTGGCTGAGTTCAAGCACATATACACAAAAATAAAAACAATAAAATTGTCTTTAAAAGTTTAGATTTAGATCCCCACGCTGCTGATGACAAATATGGTATATAACATGTGAACACTGTTATATATTACAGACTGTGATAGACAATTTGCTCCAGGAAAGTTAGAATGAACTAGTGACTTAGAAATTATGTAATCACTTAATCACAATAAAAAAAAAAGAACCTCGGGGAAGGGAGGGAGGGAGGGGATGGTAGGGGGAAAACAATGGAGGGGGTAACAATGTTCAAGAGGAAGTGTACTCATTACCTCACTCATGTAACCCTCTGTATAGTATCTTTACAATAAAAAAAAAAAGTTTAGATTTAGGAAGTGGCACTGTAGCTCAAGTGGTAGATCGCTAGCCTTGAGCTGAAGAGCTGAGGGACAGCACTCAGGCCCAGAGTTCAAGCCCCACAACCAACAAAACAAAAAAACAAAGTTTAGATTTAAAGACATTTTCAAATAGGAACAACCTCCTTATCAAAAGGTTATTGAACATCATACAAGTTTATAGCCAGGTGCCAGTGGCTCATGCCTATAATCCTGGCTACTCAGAAGGCTGAGATTTGAGGATTGCGGTTTGAAGCCAGACTGGGTAAGAAAGTCCAGCTCTATGAGACTTTCTTTTCCCCTAATATTTCTTTATTGAGATTAAGTGACCACATATATTTCACAATACTGTTGCATAGTTATACTTAGCTAAGGTCACAAACTTTAACAATAAGACTATTCCAAATCAGGTGCTATGTACTTCTTTTTCCTTTTGCTTAGTATCAGCTGTTCCCTCTTTATCATTCCTTCCTTCTGATCACAGCCCTTGAGTTGCTTAGTTCATTTTCACCAATGTCCAGTGAAGCTGATAAGACTCATCTCCAATAAACTACTCAGAAAAAAAATAGGAAATGGTGCTGTGGCTCAAGTGGTACAGCACTTGTCTTGAGCTCAAAGAGGCTCAGAGCGATCAGGCCCTAAGTTTAAGCCCCAGGACCAGCCAAAAAAAAAAAGTTTATGAAGTTTATGAATGGCTGGGTGCTGGTGGCTTGCCTATAATCCTATAGCTACTCAGGAGGCTGAAATCTGAGGAAAGTGGTTTGAGCCAACCCAAGCAAGAAAATCCTTGAGACTCTTATCGCCAATTAAACACCAAAAAGACAGAAGTGGAGCTGTGAGCCCAGTGGTAGAGTGCTAGCCTTGAGCACAAAAGCTCAGTGACATAACCTAGGCTCTGAGTTTATGAATAATTTTGAAGATCTTTTATTTATAATAAAAAAGTGAATAAATGTTGTGAATTTCAATTGGAACAAAATAGTAAAGTTGCAGTTTAGCTTAAGAAGAACTCATCATTCCAATCATTCCATCCAAACACCAAACTCTGTTTTCTCTGTTTTTCTCTTTTATAGTATAAAGAAACGTGTCTTTTCAATGCAGCATGAAACAATGCCCTAAAGAGAGGTAGTGTTTATCAAGGAACACTTGGAAATACAAGAAAGGGATAGTTGTTTCCAGGAAGCTTCTAGACTAAAAGGATTTAGTAATATGAGAGTGACAAAAAGAACCAACTTACTAACTAGTTCACTTCAAAAGATTCAAAATGTACAAGAATGTTCAATTATGTTGTTTATAATTGTCCCTTACTGTCCACTAACGGTACAATAAGTCGAGTTGATCCTTACAATGGAGCACTAACCAGCAAAGTACAAGCAATAATAAGGTTAACTCTAAGCTGAATGCTGGTGGCCTACACCTGTAATTCTAGCTACTTGGGAGCCTGAGACTTGGGACTGAGCTTCAAGGCCAGCCCAAGCAAAAAAAAGGGCTGGACAAGGTGGTGCACACCTTTATTTAGCTACCATGGTAAGCTTAAAATAGGCAGATCATGGCTCAGACATATGCCAGGCAGGAAGGCTGAGCCTATCTGAAAAATAAACAATGCATAAAAGACTTGGAGGTGTACCTCAGAAGAATGCCTGCCTACCAATAAAAATGCTCTGAGTTTGAACCCACTAATTGCAAAAATAATAAGGTTAAGAATAAATCTTAAAAACACAATGTTAAGAAACAGCATGCCACAAGGTGCTGATGGTTCATGCCTGTAATCCTAGCTACTCAGGAGGCTGAAATCTGGAGATAGAGTTTCAAAGCCAGCCCACTCAGTAAAGTTGTGAGACTTTCATCTCCAATTAACTACCAAAACGCCCGAAATGGAGCTGTGGCTCAAGTCGTAGTGTGGTAGCCTTGAGCACAAAAGCTCAGGTCCAGAACACACAAAAAAAGAAGCAACTTGCTATAAAATATACAATACCACTTACATACAAAGGATGTAAAAACTATAAGATATGTGTTCTCAAAGATGGAGAAACTAGAAGGAAAAGCAAGTAAGTATCTATCATAGAAGTCAGCAAAGTATGGAGGAATGGGTATGTGATCTGTTAGATCTGTGATACACTAAATAACAACATCCGCTGTCTAAACAACTAAACAATCTAAAACACCTAAAACAAGACAGAAGAGAAAACATAGAGAATCTCTACACATGATTATATGCTGTACTAAAAGTAATCTTTCTTCAGAAAGTAACCAAAATGAAGTATATTTGGGGAATTGTTGCTATTAGATAATAGCAAAGTTTAGAGTTCTTTTTTCTTTTGTCAGTCCTGGGGCTTGAACTCTGGGCCTGGGCGCTGTCCCTCAGCTCTTCAGCTCAAGGCTAGCGCTCTACCGCTTGAGCCACAGCGCCACTTCCGGTTTTCTGGTGGTTTATTGGGAATAGAGTCTCACTGACTTTCCTACACTGGCTGGCTTTGAACCGTGATCCTCAGCTCTCAGCCTCCTGAATAGCTAGGATTACAGGTGTGAGCCACTGGCGCCGGGCCAAAGTTTAGAGCTTTAAGTAAATATTTCATTAATGCAATCCTCTTCCTACTTCCCAATAAATAAGACTGACAGAGTCCATTGCGCAATTGAAATACAAACAAACATTAGTTTTACCCTGGAAACAGAGTTGAATGTAACATCTTCCCTTATGCTATTTATTCTATTTTCTTCAAACCGATCGTTGTTCTGTTTATTTCTTCACAAGTAAACAAGTACTTGAGAAGCTGAAAACCAGTAGAGGAAATTTAAACAACAAATAATTCTGGGACGTAAGGGACTGAGGTGGGAGGAAGGAAAACACCGGAACGCTGTCATCTATGCAAACTTTTCCTGAAACCACAATTCTTACTTAGGAATGGAGATGATCCGATCGATCGATCACATATTCATATCCATAGATTTACATACATAACAGATATAATAGATTCAGGAACGTATATACACCCACCCACACATGTGTTTTTAGGGTAATCAGCTACACCACCACCACAAAATTGAGACTTCGGGGGCTTTCCAGACAAAAATCGGGCATGCCCTGTCTTTCTTGTGTACAATATTGAAATTGTTGAGAATCTCGTGCAAATGCCTACATGAGTTCCGCCTTTCGCCTCTCCAGGTCCGTAAAAGAGAAGTGGCTCAAAAGTGAGCGATTGGGGGGGGGTCAGATCTCGGATTCCAAATTCCTCAGCTTCACTCCAAAGAGTTTCTACTCAGCAGAACTGAGTCCCAGCACCCGCGAGCCGCGGCAGGGAGCGGAGCGGTCACCATAGGAACTAGGTTTAACCCTGACCCCCTCAGGGCACCGCAACCCGGGGAAAATCTGCTCCCGGTGGTCTTCCCGCGCCCGCGCTCCGCGCAGCGGGCTCCAGCAGACACACCCCACCCGGGGCGACCCTCAGACCCCACCCCACCCACCCCCACGCCCCCTCCTGCAGTCGCCTTCCGGCCCACAAGTAGCTTTCCCCCACCCCGGCGCGTCTCCTCGACGTCTACCTGGAGCTCCGGGGCCCTCCCCGAGCTTTCCGGCCCACCGTCCACCTCGGAGCTCATCCCGGCGACTGTCAGGTTGCGTCCCTCGCTGGAGACCCAGGTCCCACCCCGTCTCCATCCTCCCGCCCCTTTCTCCTCCCTTCCCTCCCCCAAGTTGACCTGGCTCAGGCCCGGCGAAGGCGGAGTACAGGCGGGGCCTGGCGGGAAGGAGGTGGGGGGCGGTTAGCGCCGGCCCGCTTGCCGTCGGCCCCGCCCTCACGCTCTGTACCTGAGGGGGGCTCTTCTTCCACCTCCCCGGCGCCTTCGCTCCACTTCCGTCCGGCGCGCCCCTAGGCCCCGTGCGCACGCGTACCTGGCTCGACTCGCACTCTCGCGGGGACTACGAGCCGTGCGCACGCACCTAAGCACGTAGCGACGCGAAGCTCCACCTGCCAGCCTCTTTCAGGGCTAGGAGAGTCCTCTTCCTGGCCCATCGGCGCCGCGCAGGCGCAAGCCCACGCAGCGTCGAGGCGCGCGTCCGAGCGTCCTGTCTCCTAGTAACCATCCTCACGCTCACTTCCCCTCACCTGACCCCCGCGGCACCGCAGAACGCGCATGCGCAGGGCTGTTACTCGCGTGCCTCTGCCCAGCTGCTCTGGAACATTTACTGTTTGGAGGCGGTGGTCTTGTGCTGCTTCCCCTAGGGTTTCGTATCGTTCTGGACCCACGTTCAGTGAAACGGTCACTCCCCAGCGCTGATCTTGGGAGCAGTTCCTGCTTCACCCGGGAAATGTTTTGACGGGGTGCTCCTGGTCCGGTACCCCTTCTCCTGCTGCTGTCCCCGGGAGAGAGCCCACCTTGCCTGGTGAGCTTGGGCAGCCTCCAAGCCTGGGGAGCCCGTAGACCCGACGGTCTTGGTCAGCACGATCGGTCGACCCACGATGGAATCGCCAGATGGCAAAACTAGCAATAAAAGGCCAGATTCCTTCTCCAAGTCACTTCCCCCCCTCCAACGCCCCACTACAGAAAAGGTCGCCACCATTAACAAGGAAAAAATAGCCCCAAGGGGCTAACAGTGTGTCGATTTTGGTGTTTTTTTGTTTTTTGTTTTTTTCCTTTTCCTGGTCCTGGGGCTTGAACTCGGCCTGGATGCTGTCCCTGCGCCTCAATGTGTTCAAGGCAAGCGCTCTACCACTTGAGCCACAGCTCCACTTCCGGTTTTTTGGTGGTTATTGGGATGTCAGAGTCTCACTGACTTTCCTTGCCCGGGCTGGCTTTGAACCACGTTCCTCAGATCTCAGCCTCCTGATTAGCTCGGATGACAGGCGTGAGCCACCAGCACCCAGCTTCCCCCCACCCCCAGCCCCCCAATACTATTGAAAGTTGCCATCTCAGAAGCCTTCAGTCTGGGAGCACTGACTTCACTTGAACGCTGTACTGTGTTGGATGACCCAACTGCTTTAAAATTGTTGTCTCTTTTAAGATATTGGAAAAACACAAAAAGATTTTTTTTCCTTCGAAACATTTTTTGATACCTGTGCAACCTAGGATGTTGAAACACTTTAATTTCACATCTTGCCTTTCGTCTGTGGCATTTTGTTTTCTTAGGAGTCTGTAATATTTCATGTATTTTCCTCATACCTTATATAACGGTTACTCTGCTGTTAGAATTGTATTTACAGATTTTAAGGGTTTGGAGGCGTGGCACAGGTGATAGAGTGCCAGCCAATGAGCAAGGAAGCACTTGGGGGGAAAATTTATTATTGCACACGACGTTGTGATGGGTTACCTTGTGACAGTTGGCCACAAATTTGATTTTTTTTTAAAGCACATTCTGGAAATATGTTTGTTTGATTGAAATAAATTGTTTATTTTTTTAATTATGTTACCAAAGGTGGGGAAATTAGCTTTTAGGTGAAAAAGAATGAGCACTGCATCATTCTGTGAGTTGTTTTGGAGTTCAGCTTGAAGAAGAAATATTTCCTGATGTTTAGTATATAGTTAAATAAGCAGAATTTCTGAACTTATAATGATGACATTAAGTTTCCTGTTTTTTCCTCCACAGGTGACACTGACAGTAGGTTTTTATGGTGGTCCTCTGATAATCTAGACATGGTGTAAGCCTATGCATTTCAAAAAATAAGGTCACATTTGAGGAGACTAAGAGTTCCTGTTTTACTTAGGTGAGTATTCTTTTCCATAAAATATTAGGCATAAATAACTTTTATGGTAAAACATTTTCTCAGAAAAGCACACTTAAATGTAAGTGCCTTGATTTTCCAGCCTCTGAATTCTTTTACGATATTTCTGTCATTATATAGTATCATACTTAATATTATTTAATTTTCATTTGCCATAAACCTTGTAAACATAACTAGACACTAGAAAATTTAAGTTGAGTGTTCCTCAACTTAATTGTGTCAGAAAATCAAGAAGTACATTTCCTCTCAAATAGAATTACACCTAATTGATTAAGTAAGGAATGAGGAAGCATGGGCTCTCAAGGCCCCACCTGAAGTGTTAGGCAAAATAATGTATAATCCAGTATCCTCTTAGAACTTTAAGATTATTTTGAGTTTACAAAAAAGAATGTGCTAACTTTAATACTTGGGCTTGAGGTGTGCTCAGGAATAGAGCTAATTGTTTAGGAGAGTGAAGGCTATGATCCCCAGCACCAAAAACAAACGAGCAAAAAAAACCTGTTAGTTGAACATTTAAAGGTTAAAAGAAAGATTCTTCACAGAGAAATTTAGAAGTACTTCCCTTACAAAAAGAATTAGTAAAGTTTAAGCCTGTATGTATGCTACCCAAGATGAGGCTTGAAAGGAAAGACCAGGGAGATTCCTTTTGTAACAAGACTTTTAAGGGAAATTATAAACCTTGCAAACCCTTCCACAAAGAAAATGTAGCACTTGGAAAAAATTGGCAGTTTTACTTTATATTTTTAACATTACTATAATGTTTCCTCTAAACCAACATTTCTGTGAAGTTGTTGAAATTCGTATTGTATTCACTTGTTACTTATACCTCTTTTTTTTTTTCAGTAATCAAATTGAAGAAACATTTCCGCTGTTTAAACTACTTGTTCAGCTGTCCCAATGGGATTTTGGCTTAGTAAATCTGCTAGTCAGATATCTGCTATGGAAATGAATTCAAAAGTGGATGATCACTTAATGAGAGTGACTGAGCAAAGCAGGCTGGAACCCGTGATTCGGTTATTTCAAAACACCAATAAAATAAGACTAGAAGACAGAAACCAAGAAAACTTCACAAGAACTGAAGGGACTGGCACAGAATGTTTTTCAGAGAAAGATTTGGGCCCAGTAATATATGTTAAAGAAAGTGATGGAATAGAAATGACTGACGTGGAATGAAGTAATTTGTACATTTTACCAAAGAAACCAAAAATTGCTTTTGATTAAGAGGAGGTTTGCGTTAGGTCTGAACAATATTACAGAAACATAACAAAATGAGTTCATAAATCATCTTAAACTATATTTTTGATAGTCCATATCAAAAAGCAGTTGCTTTAGGGAAAAAAAGCCTTCCCAAAATTCAAAATATGTCTCTCTAGGATTATGTTCTATCCTCAGTAAAAACCAGAGGTTTTTTTTTTAATAACAATGTTTGAATGTCACCAAAACATCCAATTTCTTTAAAAAGTAGTTTTTTTTAAGTGCCTAAGTAATTGATGAGTGTTTCACCCTATTTCCAGTACACTACTTTTGTATGTTGCATTGACAGCTTGGGATTTTTGTGTTAAGATAGTGTATCTTTGTACATTTTACATTTGTAGTATAAAAGATCACTACAGATAATCTGCAAAAGACAAGTTAATTATCCATCAGGAATATTTCACATTTTAAACCTCCTATTCCCCATGTTGAATCTATTTCCAAATTAGGAAATAGCTTTTTCCAAGTGTAATAGTTAATCTTTCAGATGCTACCGTTTTATACTACCTTTAAAGAAAGAAAAAAAAAACTTTTGAAGAAATTCTTGTTATATGCCAGTGTTTGAAATATCTGGGAGCTTGAAACAACAGTATTATACTATGTAATGTTAGATGAAATTAAAGCTATTCTGTATCTAGATATATACTATTTGTATTCTGTATGATTTGTTGCTTTTAGGGTTTTTTTGGGGGGGACAAGGGAGTGCTAGGGGTTGAACCTTGGGCCTGGACATTCTGAGCATGTGCTCTGCTACAAGCTAAATTCACCCAGCATATCTTATGTATATTTTGTAACATGTTCCTATAATCTAATATATAGTTACTGTCTCTATTACTCAATTGCTTAATCTCCTTAATACTTAAACAGGAAAGGGCATCTTTGAGGAAAAATATTTTATAATATTTTATAAATCAGAAAAATACTAAATGTAGTTGTAGGGAATAATGATCCTAAAGTTTTTTTTAATGTTAAATGGAACATAAGCCCAAAAGACACAATTTTTTTAAGTTCTTTACAGAAGATAATTCTTTTGGAATGAAAAAAAAATCCGAAAATCATTCATTGTTCACCTAGCCAATAGTACGCTTGTTGCTGGAGACATGTCAATGAATAAATACTCAGTGCCTTCACAGTGCTGCCTGTCTGCCAAAGAAGACAGAACAAAACCATTGATTACATAGGATATAAACTGTGGTATACTGGGGTTGGGAAGGTGGCTCAATGGTGGAGTGCTTGCCTTTCATGCATGAGGCCCTGGGTTCGATTACTCAGCACCACCTAAGCAGAAAAAGCTGGAAGTGGTGCTGTGGCTCAAGTGTTCGAGTGCTAGCCTTGAGCTGAAGAGCTAAGAGACAGCACCCAGGCCCAGAGTTCAGGCCCCACAACCGGCAAAAATAAACTATGGTGTATTATAAAGAAAAAAAAAGTATTCAGAGAAATGAATAACATAGTTATTGGAGGACAGCTAATTTTTGCAATCCCATGATTGTCAAGTGGATGATGATGATTATGATGATGATGGTCATCCAGGAGATGAGAAATAGCTAGTCAGGTGAAGCTTGGTCCATTATCCTACTCTTAACTTTAGGTTGGCTTTGTTGTTTTGCACACAAGAATGTGGCTGAAGTGCCTGAACTGA